AAATCTGGAAAAATTTACAAACTTTTGTTCAGCACTTCTGTTGGTGCATCAGTCCTCATTTATAACCAGTCGTACGGAAAACAACACTTCCACTAAATTGTGACAAATGGATAGATTTGTGGAAAAATCTGTTGCGCAAGCCAAGTAGTGTTTCTAGGTCATTCAGTGATGCAAATGCCAGACCTCAGACATGAATAGTGATATGTAGCAATGCAGAGACAAAAGCTGTTGCTAGGAAAACATCATAGGAGCAACAAACTGGAGCCTGACATGGAATGAACTACATCATTCACCGGTACAAACTCGGAGCCAGTTGGATCCACTGATGGTCTTGTATTCATGCCATTTCAATGCAGACAGTCAGCACACCTGTACTGGACACATGGGGATCGTGAGAAATGAAGAATGTGCTTAAGTTAGCAGTTACCAATGCAGAAGCATCAAAATGCCACTAAAGAAATAAAAGTTGAAGCTAATTATGACACTGAGACCATTTCATAAGAGTTTTATCATAAATATGTAATGGCAGTAAATATTGTTTCATCCTTGATAAAAGCTATAGATGCTGTAGCTCATTATTTTTAGCTAGACCAGTCTACCTCTGTATGATCTCTATATGATCTGTGTCAAGTTGGTCAAGGTGGATAACCATATGGAAGGCAGACCCACGGGAAACTACACAGAGCAGCACACAAGTAGGAGCGGTAACTAAGAAAACCTTACACTGTCAAAACAAACTGTAGCCCACACATTTCAACTTTGTGGAGAGAGACCAATTTGAAAGCCAGCCAAAGGAAATGCATACATATACACATGCGCACATAAAGGCAAAAGACTGTGTCAAACAGACCACAACCAAGTACGACCCTCACTGTTTTTCTTTCTCTCGCGAGGTAGTAAGAAGTTTTTGTCTTACGTCTTTAAACCTGTCATCATGACAAAGTGATCAAACATAAACTTTTAGCAAAGATCAGAGGTCAAAGTTCAGCGCCAACTTGCCCGTGCATCAACCAGGCAAGGGGAGCATCTTCAGACAGCTTTTAGACCTCGTTGTTAAAAGTTTGATATTTTCCTGAAAACAAGACTTTCTTCCATTCTGTCCAACTCCATTCAAAGTTACCCCAACCTCACAGGTCAATTTAAGGTTTTGCCTAAAGCAGTGCTACTTAAAGTCATGTGTTAAACTGAGAAGTTTTTCTATATGCGCTTTCAAGTTTTTACCACAGGCTGAAAAGAGTAGCTTGACGCTGCTGGTATGTTAGCAGTGTTTAAGTTTGTGGATGATCCGAAGACTATGCGAGTGAATAGAGGGGGATAGTGTTGCGAAAAGCTCAAGTCTTGTGTTATGCCTTGTGTTATGCTTTTTCCTCTATTTTAGCTTTTGTTTTCAAATATTTAACTTTTGTAATTATCTATTAATTACTTGATATATTTGAAGACGTGAAATAGTGTCTGTTCAATGGAAATGAATGAATAGTCACTTGAAGCAAACCTCTGATAAAATTCTACAAGGTTTACAAGAAACTGTCAGTTGATCACAACCTACATGCTAAAGACACAAAAGTCGCCAGTATCTGTCATATCTGCAGGTGTAGGTGCATGCCAGGTAGAGTTCTAGACCCAAAAATACTGGACTGAACTAAAAATCACAGCTGGAAAAACAGGCAACCAAAAAAATAAAAGGCAAAGGACAAACTAAACAGTCACAAAACATAAAATAAACTGATTCACTGACAGGAAGGAAAACAGGTGGACAGAACAAATACCTGCTATGCATGAGAACATGACAGCGAACATAGACAAGGGAAACACAGACAATATGTACACAAAGAGGATAACGAGGGAAGCAGTCACAGGCGGGAGCATAACTGACACTAATCTGAGTGACGTGACAGGGGAAGCAAAACTGAACATAATACACACGAAGCAGGAGATCATCAAAATAAAACAGGAAGTACAACCACTGAGACTAAGACACGTGGGTTTGACATGGGACCGGAGAGAACAGAAGGACGTGGGTACATGACTGTGAAGGCTGAAAGACACAGATATGAGACTAGGAAGACTGAGCTCCAGAGACACAAATACAGACTAGAACATAAACCAAAGCAAACACAAAAACTGGGTTGAGCACCTGGGACCATGTGGCTGTGTTCGGTGGGGATTTTCTCCTCAAGGCTGAGGGGTTTGCTGAATGAGGATTTGAGGAAAAATAATTTGGATTCTGTTTATAGTTCATGCATCTGAAACTGTCCAATAAACATTTTTCAGACATAGTTTTGACCAGTATTCGGAGACAGTGAAGTTAAGTTAACCAAAACGGAAAATACTGCAAAGTCTAGTTGTTCTTAATTGTGGTGTGTTTTTGCATAAATGCCATTTTCGGTCTGCGTCTTTAACATGTGATTTTGCCCATACAGTTCCCATAAAAGGTTACAAAAATGACCTTCCCTGGAAGTAAGCTGTGATTCTTTTAAATAAAACTCTGCAGTGGGTAGTGCTGACCAACTTATGTCAGACCTGAGTAAAATCTATGAAAACCAAAGCTGAAAAAAGTGGGGAAACCAAAGAGACAGACAGATTAGTGTTAAACTGAAAAGAAGCATGTGTAGATCCTGGGTCCAATCCAGGAGAACGCATGCTTGATTCAGTCCTGATCAAACCCAGATGTGACGAGAACATAGCTGCAGAAAACATAACTGGATAGAAATATGGTGGATTGGAAAAATGACCTTACATATAATATTTTAGTTTATAGAAAGTTTAGAAAGTGATATTTGACACCACATGACTAATAGATGTAGGCACAAACAAATTTAGAAAAGCATTTCTAGGAACTGAATACTGCTGATAATGCCAGTCTTAGTCCAGACGCAGGAAGTTGCAGCATTGCCATGCTAGCTTCTGGGACTGACGAAAATTCTGGGCAGAAGGCCATCAGGATCATGTGATGGGCAGAGAAGTACAGACATGGGCAGGATGTCTTGCTTAAAAAAAGATTTAAAAACAGAGGCAGCTGATCCCCCAAACATACATAAATGTATACCAGTACACCAGTATGAATCTAAAATATCAGAAAACACAGAACAATATCAGATACTACACAATGGCTTTATGTTACAGAACAGTAACACCTGTCAGTGTAAATGTCATCATAACCTTCACACTCAAGGTTTGACGCACTTACAGTTTAGAGTAAGAATCAAAATAATAACATTATTTCTTTTTTAAACACTGCTATTGTATAGTTTATTCATAACCCATTGTTTTTCCTCTTTCTTGAGCCCTGAGTTAAGTTTAACAAGTTAACAGCCGCCAAATGATTACGCCAATCTTCCAGACACAGGAAGTTGTTGCATTGTCATGCTAACTGCTGGCATTCAGGAAAATGAAGGGCAGAAGGCATCAGAGTAATGTGCTAAACAGAGAAGTAAATACAGGCCTTCATAGCCAGTGTTCATCAGCAAATCATTCATAAAATTATAAAACACAACTTTCTAACTATCGAGCACAATATTCTGAAACTGTAACTGGACTGAACATCATTACTTGTGCTTATTTTGTTTTAAATACTAATATTTACAGCTTAGGTTTCAGTGAGTAATTTTCTTATTTGATGTGTTTTTAAGGTACAGAAAATGTTTCTTTTAAAAATGTTGTTGAGCATGTGACATATAATTAAGATTATTAAACTTAGAACCCTTTAAAGCCTTCAAAACCCTTCATGAAAACAAAGGCAGGCAAGTGTAGCCAGGGGTCACAAAACAGTATGGCAAGGCGGAGATAAGAATGGTTTGTTTTACTATTTATTTATTTACTTATTTGTTTATTTATTAAAAGGGTCGTGATGTTTTTTGGTTTGTTTGTTGTTGTTGTTGTTGTTGTTTTCTAAAAGGCCTTTGGACCAGACTTAAAATATCTCATCACAGATGGCTGGTGTTTCTTCAGGCTCTGACTCCAGAAGAGGGAAGTTAGAAGGTGAGCCTGTCTAAATGGACACGTTTATTTCACATCATGGAACACGGTTATAACTGTTACAATCAAAATGACATGGGAAGGCACTGAGTTCAAATTCTGAATGGAGCTCTGAGCGGTGGAAAAGTTTTACATCAGTGAAGCAGCTGCCAGAAACCTGCCAAAAACCCCTTGATATTGTTTCACAATGGAAGAAAAGGTATTACTGCCATATGCCTCCCAGCCGTTCTTTTTTGTTGTTCTTTTTTATTTTTTCCTGTGTGTGTGTGTGTGTGTGTGTGTGAGAGAGAGAGAGAGAGAGATTTTCCATTATCAAAATCTAAGCAATGCAAGATATTTTCAATATTTGCTGAAAAACTGTAAACATGCTACATCATATTTAGATGGAAACTAGCGAGCTAACTCCCTGCTAACTTCTAACTCCGTTAAATACCATAATTGTTACACCTGGTAGAGCAGAACGCTGATCATTTTATTACATATGAAAGAATTTAGACAGTTCTTCAAGTCTCAGTGATCAAGCAGTGATCGTTTGACTTA